ATTTTTGCCAATTGATATTTTTAAAATCTTAATTGATTCAGTGTTATATTATCATTTTTACATTTATAAATAGATTTGATTAATTGTAATCCATTTTGTTCGATATCTTTTTTGTTTGCATGTTTTTTATAAAAGATATTGGCCAAATTTGACACCTTTTTATCGTCTAATAATACATTTATAATACTCTTCTTTCTTTTTCCGGCAAATTCAGATGTTGTATCGCAACCAGGAAAACAATGCAGAAATGTAACGATATTTTTGAAGGATTCATATTTGAAACTATTAGACGTGAAAAATAGATCTTTTACATTTTCAGAACCTGGTTTGAGAAAATAAATGTCATGATTATTTGAAGTTAATTGATTCAAAAGGACCAAAAGATCAATATCTTGACCCACAACAATGACAGTTTTATTGGTATCTCTGGCAATTTCTATCGAAGTTTTAATAATGTCTGCATCAGCATCTTCTTCTGCTTGTTTACAGGAAAATCTTTGAGACTGTAATCTTTTCACTAACGTTTTTATTATTTTGTCCTTGTTTTTCTCGTTAAATAAAAATTTTTCTTGCATAAATGGTATTTTTGTATGGTTTTGATAATCAAACTCTGGAATATTATCTGAGGTTTTTCTACGACTACGTTCTCCTTTTTTAGTTGAAGTAGCTGCTGATACTGTTGTCACAGTAACTGATTTTTTAATTTCGGGGGTACCCATCAAAAATGATATAGCTGCTTGCTGCGTAATGTTTTTCTACATAGCGAAAATATTTATTCATGATCTCTTCCACCGTTTCAGTTTTCTGCCAAATTACTTTGTGCAGTAAAAATCCACCGTCAACGACATGCACAATGCCGCCAGAATGCGTTGGTCTATTCGCACTCACAAATAAATCGTAAAATTGAGATTTAACATTTTTTCTGAGGCCATTTTCTGTAAAAAGTGACAATGAATATTGTAAATAAGATTCTTTTTTTTTACTGTCAATTCTTAACGATATTCTTTGGAATAACAATAATGGATCAATGGCTATAATATCTCCGTTTACTTTAACGGAAGATTGAACCGTTTTTAGAGACAAGACTTTGTTTTTCCTTTTAAATTTGACCTGCCAAAATTCATTCCAACAATAGCTTGCAAAGTTTTTTTCCCTTCTTCAAACGCTTTGTAGCAATTTACAGAATTACTGCCAATGATTCCAGAAAATATTGATATAATGTTATTAGTCTCTGGAAAAGGATCATACCTGTTAAAAACCTTTTGTAATATTTGTAAATCTCTTTTTATTCGAGATATTCCCTGGAATCAAAGTGTTGCTCTGTAGTTGCGAAAGAAACATTACAAAAATCTTCCATTTCATTGCAAACTTTGACAAGTATAATCATTGTTAATACGAATTTTGTTAAAACACTTTCAGACAAACCATGACCATGTGTAAGTCCACCCCGAGTTTTCATAGATCCCATCAAAACTTGCTCGATCGTCATATCTGTCCAAACTCCCGACCAAAACTTGTGAGTACGTCTAATCGTAAAGAATCCTTCAGTGAATCGTGTAAGTTCATAATCATCATTGATTGTGTCTTTAAACTTACGTATATCTTGGAGATAAAGATGAGCAGATTTTGCGTATAAAAAGTGTCCACTTGCATGAAAATAGGGAAGCATTCTTTCCACACATTTTAAATGCAATTTCCAAATACCTGCACGTTCAGCCCGTATGAAATCTTCAACCAATGAGATCATTTGCCAGTACTGCATCCAAAGTTTTGCGGTAGGACCTCTTTTTGTACTAATTTTAAATGCTCGATAAATTTTTCTTTTATGATCTTAAACTCTTCGTGATGGAAATTATATGTTTCTAAATCTAGCAAAAATGTATCCATTAACCCTTTTTCTGTGTTCGACAACTCCATCGATGAAAAAATTAATTCAGACAAGGCGAGTTGTACTAGAAAATGTCCTCCGATAGCTCGTGCATATGCGTGCCTGGAAAGAGCTTTATCGGAAGAATTTTCTGCATATATTTTACAAAAAGCTTCCTTAAGTCCACTACCATCCATGATAAATCCAATCGCTCCAAGGAACGACATCAATAAATAAAATCCCCCAAGTCTTACTTGAATTGACGTCAAATTGTAGGGATCATTATCTAAATCAATACAGGCTAAGATTTCACGAACTTTATGGTATAGCGGTTGGTCAAACGTCTCGAAAAAAAATCTTTTGCTCTTGTTTTTGGCATTGTTTAGCCGCTGTTACCAACGATGTAAAAATGGTATAATCACTCGGTGGATTTTTTATAAACGGCACAGGAATAATTTTTGAAGTATGATACGGCAAATTAGTATATAACTTCTCCATGAACCCATTCCAACCATCGGATTTGTTGTTTGCAAATTTTGAATAAGATCATGTAAAATCTGCCGAAGAAATTTTAAAATCTGCCGAAGAAATTTCATAGATGTCCGTAGCGTTTAAAATATCTTCTACTTTTGTTTTCAAAACGTTTCAATTTCACAAATCCAATTTCGCCTCTTTCTTCAGAAGATGGAATCTGTTTTAATCTAGAGATGGTTTTTTTTGAAGTAATACTGGACGCCGGAATAACGACCATTATTTCACCCATTGCATGAAAAGTTTTCTTGCCATCAATCGTGCATGTATTATGATCTGCATTATCATAATAAATTGAACGTATGAATCTGGTAATCGAATTAAATTACCGGTTTTGAGCTTACATTAAACTGTAATTAGATGAAACAAAATGGATTCTATGTATTTTGTGGTGATCTTTTCGAAAAAAAGGCAAAACAAAATGTAGCAGTTTTTCGAAAGTGCTGAAATTTTGGATTTTGTCAATTTTTCAATTTTGCGCATGCGCATGTCGCAAATAAATCATTATTTTTAAAACGCAGTTTACAAAATTTAAAAGATTAGAAAAAATGCTAATTTTTATGTCTTTTGAGAAATTTTGATCGGATGCACCGTTCTCGCGGTATGGACGGTTGAAATTTGTTTAGTATTTTGAGGCGGCGAAGGTCGAAAAATTGAATTTGTTAAATGTTCAAACACTAAATTCTTTATAACTTTGGTAAAAATTAAGATATTTGAAGAAACAAAAATTTGTTTTGAACTTAAGGGATGTGACTATTGATTCCCAGAAGGGGGCAAGAGAAATCCCAAAATTAAGCATATGGCGGAAGGGCAAAGTGTACCGCAAGCCTAATTTCATTGTTTGCCTATAACGGCCAAACTATTTAAATTTATTTAATGCCACTTACAGAGCTTACTCTTAAATATGAAATCTTATAAGTGTGTGAATTTTACCGAAATCAAATTATAATTGGCCAAGATATCAAACAATTTAACAAACTTTTTTCTCTAAAAAAAAACTAAATTTTTTTTCGAAAGTTTAAAGTGGCACAAAAATGTCAAAAATGCACCCAATGACTTAAAACTTTTTTTTTTGAATACTCTATTATGTATAGAATACGATTACATTACGGAAAATTCTGCAAAAATATTTTATCTATTTTTTTGACCACTGTTCATTGAGTGACGACCAAAAAACACGGTTTTTGAGAAAAGTTGCCTAAAATTGACGATTTTCAGTTTTTTGGTCTGAAAATTGAGCAAACCCAAATCTCATGTCTTCTGAATGTGTATACAAAGTTTAAAGTATGTATGTTTCTTCTAAGTTGTAGAATTCTCCCGACAAAAGTCCCATTACACGCGCTCCGCGGGATCCAAAACTCGTGCATTTCTGTAATTTGATTTTTTGTGATTTCCAATTTTAAATTTCTTACATACCTAAATTTATTAGGCCTAAAATTTATTAAATTGTATTTTACTGACTTGTTATAAGACGTTTCTTGAGTTTTGTGCAAAAAATAGAATTACCGCAAAATTAGCCGGACGTCGCTATACGACAAGTTTAAACTTGAAACGGTCATATTATTACAAATTAAATCGCTTGATAATGTATATCGGCATAGATTTTTAATAACCGTGTTCAGCAAGCTCTGTGTACACGTGGTTTTTCGGACTTCTTCAGCAATTTATTAAGTAAGTACGTTCTTAAATTAGGAAAATTCTATCACAGTGCTATAAGTTTTTTGTTTCCAGGTTGCAATGGCTGGACTGTGTTTATTATGTCATCAGAAACTTGCAGAGGGTGAACTTACCCCAATTAGACCGACAGGATTGAAAGGTCTGCAGTTGGTCAGCAAAGAGAGAGTAGATGATTTTTTCAGTTCTTTAGAACCAGGTTTTATATTGCATGAAAGGTGTCGCAAACATAACGTAGCTCGACGTTATGGAAAAGAGTTTATTTATATAACTTGGGATAGGCATAAAAGGGCCGCGATTGACAATGCCAAAAAAAAAAGGAGGATGGAGCATCAACCGAGAAGAAAACCAGATGTTAGAGAACAAAAAAACAAGCTTATCACCAAGTTGGAACTTACACTCAAGCTTAGGATTAATTTCCTAACATTTTTAAAGTATACCTTTTTGTATATTTTTTTGTGCTCTTTCCGATAGCGCAGTTAGTTTCGTCAAATATATTTTTTGTTAGATGTTTTCGGAAAACCCGGAGAAAATCATATGGGAAAAAATTAAAAAAAATTTACGCCTTCCGGTTTCCTGCGAATTCCCGAAAAATTACGGCAATTTAAAAAAAATTGAAAAACTGCTACATCATTTTTTTCTCTTTTTCGGAAAGATCACATCAAAATACACAAGGTCCACTTTGTTTCATCCAATTACAAATTAATGTAAGCTCGAAGGGCCTTTTTTTCGTTATTTAATTGGACTATGGAGAAAACGTATGATTAGCAGGGTCCTTGATAATCGACGCTTCAAAGCGCAAAGTTTCATTTATATGAGGAGCACAAACCTAAATTAGATAATGAGTCGATCAATCCTTTAGAGGCATATTTTTTGTGAATCATTGACCTCAAACCAAGTAAAATTGGAGATAAAAAAGAACGTGGTCTTACGGATGTGATGATACAATGAGACTCTGTGGCTGCTTTTTGTCCATCCTACTAACATTATTTGTACTCTTTTGTTTATTACTTTTGCACACAATATTCAAAAAAACTTGTAAAGATTCAGGAACATCCTTAAAGAGATTGCCTTCGTTTAAATCTGGAATTTCGTAGTAATTCATATCGTATACTTTAGACCGTATATCTTCTAAAACAATTTCAGCAGCCATTTGAACAATTCTGCTTCGTTCGTCTTCTTTACTTTTTAATCTTTTTTTGTACCAGTCTTTGCAGAGTTTCTTACTTGCAGTACCATTTTTGTATAAAATTATCATGTCTTTTTTAATTAAATGACACTCAATATCGTTTTGAAAATGCTCCTTCAATTCACGGGTGTATGGCTAAAGGGGCATTAGTCATAAATTATAAAATTCAAGAAACAAGCAATTTAAGTTTAAAGATTTGTGTATAATCTGTACGTACATATTTTTTTTAATTGTTGCTATAGTGTAAATAGGAATACATTCTTTAGGAAAATAGGCAGGCAGAAGTTAAAAACATTTATTTTATTATGTCATATGTTACATGTCACAAAAAACTGACTTATGCTTTTTGGCACTAAAAAACTACAATACATTAAAATGAAAAACATTATGTAACTAAAAAGACAACTTAGAAAATAGAAACTACTGTTCCTCAGAATCTTCTGGTTCTGAAACATCTGCTAAATCAGGATTAACATCCACCACATCTTCAGCAGTTGTAACGGTTTTATTTTGCCACATTAGAAATATATTAGGGATGAGATTTTATCAGTCTTATATATCTTAAATAATTGTAAAAAATCAAATATCAGACCTTTTGGATTTAGAAATATGTGTGAATTGAGGCGTTATTTATAAAGGAGTTCTGTTATCATACCAGGAGGTTTATGTTTATTTTCATCTTCTTCTTTTTGGATTTTTCAACTTTGTTCTAATTACCTTGTCACAATTCTTCTTGTTCTCTATTGACAATAGGATTAATATCATTTTCTTGTGGGATCTGAAGATCTTGCATTCGAGTTACATTATCACGAACATCCGAATGACAATAATTATTGGGATAATTACTTCTAGGATACTGAGGATCCTGATTTCTAACGAGATCCGTCTGTTGACTTAGAGCAGTTTTCTGATAATTTACGTGTGGTGAACTAGACGTTATATGATCATTCTTCAGCTCATTTGCAGAAGTTTGAGGAAAACTCACTTGTCGTCTATTCAATTGACCTAAAGTGTAGTGCTGTTGACGAGACGCAACATGAGAAGGTTCGCTTTCAAAAATTTGACGTAGACTTGATACTCGACTTTTCGCAAGATCCGAATTCACCTTAAGAACTGGTGTATCTAACTGATTTTGTGGAAAATTAAAGAATTCCCCCAATCTGAGAGACTTTTCCGGAGACTCTCTCTCTAGATACTCTGGAAATGAATCAACTGGTACATCTAGCAGTGATTGATGAGTCACATGAGGGTTATCCTGTTCACATGAAACTTCCACTGTTTCACGCTGATTGGTTTCCTTTGTATGGTTAGAACTTATATATAAAGTCTCCAATGCAGTCTGTAGTTGAGAACACCAAGTTAATAATCGATCACGTTGTGAGTTGAATAATGAATTCACATCCCCATTAATACGATCTAACCGTAAAGTTAAATGTATTAGCCCTGATTTAATTTTCTTAAATTCATTCTTTCTGTTTTCCTGATTAAATTCACGTAGGTTCTCCTCTAAATCACTCAGTTTGCCTTCACAAGTAGACAACTCATAACCAGGTTCCAACATTGGAGCAGATATAGGAGGTATCCTTTCCCCTAATCGCTCTAATCTCAGTACTTCTCGTAAAGATTCTCTCTTTTCGGACACACTTCCTCCAATGGGTAAAGCTCGGCAAGTTAACTCATAAGTTAACTCGTCCCCTAATAGTCGATTAACTTCCATATCGAGCTAAATGAGAACGACTGGAAACCCCACCCTTACTTAAAAAAGAAAAAAAAAGACCTAGAGATACCTAAGACCCTAGAAACCCTTATAAATAATATGTACAGAAAACTTACACTAACCGATCGAATCAATACCAATTTCTACTAATCAGTACTAACCTCTACTAATCAGTACTAACTCCTACTAACGAACTAGTATCAGCTGCACTATATCTAATATTCACAAACTTATTCAATATTATATTTACAAAACCCGATACTTATTAATATCCACCCAAAAGTTCCTATATATCTCCCAATAATGCCTATCTACAAGCACCTGCATACAAATTCAGATAATTCTGTGAATCACCCTATATACTGATCAAATCCCAAAAGATTGCTATCCCACTATATAACACACTCTAGAGAGTAGACCGAAGTACCCTGTATCAATAATACACCATTTTTTTTTTTTTATATAAATAAGTTAGGTTGTTGCAACGATGTGTAAACGTCTTAAATGACCGTAAAGTATTAACCACTTCAAGGACGAGAACACTATACAGTGCACAAGCAGATAATATACACGAAAATGTGTGACTTAATTACAAAATTTCCTCGTAAATACCCTATATGGAGGTTACAGGATGGAAAACTCTTGCGAAAAACCAAATTACGATATCCTGAATTGTCAGATTCACAATGGCTCACAGTTGTTCCAAAGGAGCAAAGGAATGCAATCATTAGTAAACATCATGATCCCCCAACATGTGGTCATATGGGTATATCAAAAACTAGCGCTAGAATTTCAGAGGCTTACTATTGGCCTAAACTAAAATCGGACGTTACACGTTATGTCAAAAGGTGTCAGATATGTCTTCAAACGAAGCCAGAGCAAAAACCACCGATTGGACAAATGTTGTCTGCCCAAGTTGGGGCCTCGAGGCCGTGGGAATTAGTAAGTGTGGACCTAGTAGGCCCACTTCCACGTTCAACCAAGGGTTATACCTACATCCTCACTGCTCTGGATTGCTTTAGCAAATTTATTTTATTGTTTCCTCTTAGAAATGCCACTGCAGCTTCCATAGTAAGTCACTTGGAAGCCCATGTTTTCCTTATATTTGGTGCCCCCAAGAAAATTATTGTCGATAATGGAACGCAATTCCGAAGCGACCTCTTCAAAGGGCTTATGAGGGAATATCAGGTAAGAATTGGGTATACGGCTAATTACCACCCTCAAGCCAACCCCGTGGAAAGAGTACATCGTGTAGTTAAGACTATGCTGGCTAGTTATGTTACAGACAATCACAAACAGTGGGATAAATATTTACCCAAAGTTGGTTTCGCGATTCGTTCTGCAAAGCATGATGTAACTCAAGTTACACCCAATTTAGTTGTCTTTGGTAGGGAGGTGAACATGAATGATAGTGAGAAGCTGTCGCCATCTAATATCCATAGCGATGCGGAGGTTAAAGAAAAAGCTCTGAATAAATTGTACCAAGACATCCAGGCCAGACTTAAAAAGGCATATGAACGATCAAGCAGACCCTATAATCTAAGGCATAGGAATGAGAAATTCTCTCTCAACCAGTATGTCTGGAAGCGAAATTATGTGCTGTCAGATGCCGCTAAGCAATTTACAGCTAAATTAGCTCCAAAATTTTGCGGTCCATACAAAATAATAAAAATTGTTTCTCCCTGGACCTATGAGCTAGAGGACAAAACTCATAAATCTCTTGGCATATGGAATGCGAAAGATCTAAAAGCTCATCCTCCGGATGACACTTCAGATGAGGATGCAGAAAGTGAACAGGAATAGATATTCCTTTATCTCTTTCCTTAATGCTTGTAAATATTTATGTACATATATTTTTTTTTTTTTTCCTTTTCTGCCTTGAAAACTTTTTATAGTTGCAAATTATTTTGTTTTCTTGATGAAATACTTAAAAGTTTCCTTGAAACTTTTTTTAGGGAAGGGTGGTGTGTAACGGTTTTATTTTGCCACATTAGAAATATATTAGGGATGAGATTTTATCAGTCTTATATATCTTAAATAATTGTAAAAAATCAAATATCAGACCTTTTGGATTTAGAAATATGTGTGAATTGAGGCGTTATTTATAAAGGAGTTCTGTTATCATACCAGGAGGTTTATGTTTATTTTCATCTTCTTCTTTTTGGATTTTTCAACTTTGTTCTAATTACCTTGTCACAATTCTTCTTTTCTGGCTCCCCTTCACAGAAGTTGGTAGACTACCTCAGCAACACCAAAAATCTGCTTACCAGTACCTACAATATTTTTAAAATTCAAAATCACTAGATTTTGGTGAGAAATTGAATGAGGAAAAAAAAAAAATTGATTCTCTTATCTTTGGACTTTTTGATGTGAATAGTCACATTGTCGCAATTTGCGGATATTTCCAAAAATCTTTGAATTTTTAAATATATTTTACTTCGGTTTGTCATACAAACGAAGAATCTCTTTATGAGGATGTTTGTTTAAAAATTTAAAAGATAAAAGATTTTATTTCTCACCTTTTAAGGTCATCCACCAGCCAAGGTAGGTCAAACTAACAATTTCTGCTATTTTCTTTATTTAATATTCCTTATATTAGAGTGCTAACAATGTATTTTCTCTTTGTAGACCTTTTTTTTCTTTGGTTACGATTTGTACCTTTACTCGCTGAATATATCTACTCAGCTCCAAGCCTATGGTAAAAGGTATTTTGGACTCCTGCATGTACACCTGCTTTTATATATCCATCCCGCAGTACCCACGGCTTTAAGATCCTGAAGGATACTCCTGCATGTACACGAAGCTACTACCTACCTGCTTCGATCTGGGACCTACTCTGGCCACGTGAATGCAGAACTTCCAGGACCAAACACACACAGATAAGCTTGCATGCCTCTCATAAATATATAATCGTGTCTATTTTGCTATTCAATGATTAACTTAGGGATAGTAGGTTATATCTTCCTGTAGTCATATTAAAGGTTATCGAACAACTTTTTCAACCACGTCTTTGTTCTCTGGGGTTGGGACAAACAGATAAAGGGACAACACAAGTAAATTAACTCCTTTTTATGTATTAATTTGGTTGATACCCTCTGCTTTAAGCAATAATTTGCTTCCGGAAACAGGCCGGGAAAACTGTAAAAAGTTATAATTGTAAATATTAAGTATACATAATTTAATCGCATGACTTACGATATGATGTAAACCATACAGTATATATACTATATCGGTAAAATTTATAATATTCTTTAAATAAGTGCATTTCATTTTTTTTATTCATAAAACATAACCTATACATTCTTCTTTTTCTAAAATATTACAAAGTTAATTAATCATTGATATAAAATAC